TTTCAAATTGCAAAATGGCTTTATATTAAGGAAGCAAAGAAGAAAGAGAAAGGATCATCTGCAGTCAACGCCGATGGTACCGAAATGATTGATCCTGCCGGCGGGACTTATGCTGTATCCACTATTGGCGATCAGCATCAACTTGTGCCTCAGTCCGTCGCTGATATGACTTCAAATTCCTCTCCCATGTTGCAAGAAGCTCTCCAGCCAGCGGCAACATGTGGAGAAATACTAGCTGCATCAACGGTACCGAGCCCACCGCGAGCTGTCACTGTGTGTGCGGTATCTAGCGTCACATCTCGACCACCTGGTACGACACAAACCTCCCTCATACCGGCGCTGACCTCCACACGGCAGTCCCTTCTGCCACCGCCACCATCAGCAACTACCACTCTTCGACAGTACGTCCAGAGCAACGCACATCTAACGGGGAGTGCTCTTCGGCAACAGTTGGCTCCACAGGCGAATAACACTTTCGCACCACAACGTCAACAAGCGCTGTTTCCTGTGGCGATTGCTGGCTCGAGAGATGCTCGACAGCCGGTGTTGGCTCAGCTCAATATGGAGAGCAAACGGCATTTTGGAGTACCGCCCGGAATAGTGTCGTCATTGGAAGGCCATGCGGTAGCGCCCGCGGGTACAGGTGAGTAGTATAATACTGCGTTCATACATTGGCACAGCGTCCAGCAGCGATCACCAACGACCGCAAGCATTTCGAGCGTCCGCCAGCGACTATGAAATCATACATGTCGATCTAGCGAAGACCAGCGTCATCCAACGTCTCGAGGGACTAGGGAAGTATAGGTATCGATCTGGCTAACGCCAGCGTCCACCAGACAGGAGTAGAGAATATGGGGAGTAGGAGAGTAGCAGACGGTTGGATTAGGCGTCGTGAAATTGCGGCGTGTGCGACCGCACCGTAACAAAATTGCATAATTCTGTGCTTTAGCAGTTGTGCGGTGCGGTGCACACGCGGCTGTTTCACGACCCTTAATTCAGTTGACTGCTACCTTCCTATTCTCTAAATCTACTCCTGGACGCTGCTGCACGCTGGCTTCGTTAGATCGATAAATATCACTTTCTGGTTCGCTGGAACTCGGGGCGGTCTTAAATGGTGGTAGTCACTTGTGGACGCAACTGCAAAGTATGAACTCGCTTAAGAGTGCATCTTCCTCTGACCGGCATAGATTGACCGAAACTATTTTCAGAAGTGGTGAACAACATCACGACAACTCTTCCACAGCAAGTCGTCGGACTTGATGACGGTCGTGCGATCATACAACAAGTACCAATGACCGCTTATCAAGGAGTGGAGCAGCATTCTGCGGCAGCTGTACAATTAGGCACAACGATAGTAGTGGATCCTCAACTGAGTGGCGTTTCTGGAAACATGCAGCGTGTCCCAGTTACTGTCAATCAGCAGTTGCAGCCTCAGCAGCAACAACAACAACAACAGCGTGGAAATCTGAGCCAGGTTGGTCATATGCTTTCGCGCAATTCAAGACTGAAGGCAAACTATGCACTCTCCTCCAAAGACTGTACTTGCCATGTGCGAGCGCAATGATCCGCTGCTGCAGTAGCGTGCCACATTCTCCGCTCAAAGGTGCACGGGAACGAGTGATAACCAGTGCCACCTCCATATCCAACCGCGCCATCTTCAAGTTCAGCACCTGTGACAGCACAAGGGTCCCGCGAAATAGGCACTCGGCAATAGAGAACGATCAGAACTGAGAGAACGTAGGCAAGCATCGCGTTCGGCTAGGGTTAAGTATGTGGCTGGTGTGCGGCTGCGCAGAGTATGGAAACAGCCCTCCAATCTCCTCGTGCCCTTTTGATCGGAGAATGTAGCACGCTACTGCGGACCCATTCTCCCCACTTACGGCAAGGACCAGGATCCACGGAGCAGAGGGTACAGTTTATCTTTAAGCTTGCTCGATAGCCAAGCCATTAGGCTACGGAGTAAACCTACAGTAAATATTTTACCTTTAGCGTCAACTTCCACCAGGTGCGCTAGCCGCTCTACGAGCTCAAGCGTTACGAACTCGTTCATTATCGTCAACGGCGATCCAACGGAATCATCCACAACTGGCCGCAAAGGTAAGGTGGAGGTCATGGTTGCTTACCCCCGAAATTTAACCGTTGAAAGGACGGTGAGAGGCGGGGGGGGGGTGAAGCCAACGTAAAACGGGAAAGATCTCGCGAACGGAAATATTTTTTCTCGCAGCGCCAAAACACTTACGACCCGCTTCTCACACCCCAACGGCCGAATGGCCAGATTACTCACCCTCCGCTGTTTTTCACAACGGGTACTTGCTCACTAGGACCTTTTATGGTTTTTGAAAACATTTCCCTATGTAGAAAAATGAGTTGTAATGTTAAATGATGTAGTTGGGACGGGGAAGCAGGCTGCCTTAGCCGTTGTTGTCTGCACGCTTCAAAGCTAATCATGAGAAAGGGGATAACATTCACCTATCTGTGGGAGACCGCAGACGAGCAAACAATCTCGCAGCCCCCTGCCCCTTACCCCAAGCCTCCCAAAATATTCTAGCGCCTGAGTTGTTAGCTGGTAATTAGCTGGTATTCAGCTGCTGGAAGGTGGAGTGCGAGGTGCACGAAATTCGCGGTACGCTGCTGCTCTGGCAGCGGCAATTGCACGACAAAATCAACCTCTACCGTGGAATGCTCCGCCAATCGCACGTAGAACACCCCCTTCAAGTGACGACGAGGATTTTGGCAAGACAGCGAATGGAAACAAGGTAGGAAGCGGAACTTTGTTAGTCTTAAAATTTAGTGAAGACGTCATTGTTTAGGTGATCCGACTTCGAATGAAACGTCAGCGTCGGCGGATGGTGGGTGTATACCGCGCAATTCCAGAAATTGACTCGATGTGTCGAGCGGTCGAAGATGCAGACTATGACAAAACGGATTTATTCCCGCTAGGTATGGTCACGGAAATAAATCAGAATCAGAATCATACAAGTTGTTTTTCAGCAAGAAGGCTGGGGCGTGTCCGGGCTTTGGCGGGGTTTTGGCGCATCCATTATAGTTTTGGTAGCGCGACGCTATACGAATAGTTGGAAAAGGAGCCGGCACCGCGCCAAACCTAGTCCCCTGGCACGTCTAGCGACCGCGGAAAAGACCATTCCTACTTACATAGGCCTTGATCAGAGCGAGTTACATAGCTTCTCAAAAGCTTCGCGCCAGTCGCTGGAGCAGGACGGGAGGTCGGCAGCGAGGCTTGCTCACGCCCGTTCTCTGCTCATTTGCTCTACCTCGGCGAAAAAGTGCTCCGTGAGTTTAGTATGCGTCGCCAAGAATGTAGACGAGCAGAGAATCAGCACGTTCTCCCCCATCTGCTCCCATCCTTCAGCTAATTCACACTCGGTTTTGCAGTAATGCTTTTACAGCCGTTATAACTGCGGTGCGTGTCAGCGAAGTGTATGTTTTGGTGCAGCGCCAGCCCCCTTGTGTCGCAGTCGTGGAATGCTCTAGAGCCCGCAACTGGTTGATGGAAAACGCGCCCTACGCCAAAGCCGTCGCCCCGGTGACACGCCCCAGTTGACTTTAGAGATAAAGATTGTATTTTGAAGGGCTTGAACCGTCGGATGATGAAGATGCGACCTATCCGTCATCGTCAATCCTTCCCACGGCAAGTTTGGCAGTGTCCAGCTATTCGGGTGACTTGTCCACGCAGCTCTACCTAATCAAGAAGCAATTGCGACTGGAACGACATGCTTTGTTGAAGCAGGTACGGTTTTGCTATTAGCATAGCATTACTTCCAAGCACCTTCAGATGTGATGAGATTTAACAGTTTACTTCTCTAGGCACAACTAAATGCCCACATAATGTGTGCATCGCGGCGGTTACCGTTGAGTGTTGGCGCAGCGCTACGTCAACGCACTGATCCCTCACCTCCTCCTCTGCAGTTGGCCCCAGCAGCGTTACGTCGTTGCTGCCAACTGGACAACACTAATAAACAGCGGTAAGTCTTGTTTTCTCTGAAAATTTGGAGCGAAGGTCAAGGTAGTTGGGAGGTGTCGCGCGATGTGTAACTGTTCCACGTCATGTCTGATCGTCTGTGCCCTCTCACAGAACGGGAAGTTGGCATATACACTAGTTCTTGGGCTTTCAAACGACGTGACAGTAAGGCATATTACAGCGCAGTCGCACCAACTCTCGGGTATATGACAAAAGAGCCGTAGTTTGCCGCACTGGCAGGAGTGGCGAGCGACGCCGCGCCGCGACAGACAAGTTCCTATTTAGGCAGCATTCAGACTTCGTGATGGCAGCGCTTCTGTCGCGCGTTCGACGCGATCGATGCAGTCGAAAGTGCGCATCGATCGCGTTGAACGCGCGACCGAAGCGCTGCCGTCGCGAAGTCTGAACACTGCCCTAGCAATTCTAGTTTGAATATGAAAGCGCGGGAAGGATGCTACTGAAGCGCGCCAGTGGTGATATCGCGAGCGATATTGAGAAGGCTGGAGTGTTTTGATGCTCCATATCATCAGCCGTGAAAACAACAGATGGTGTAGCAAATGTCCAAAAACGTGAAACATGTGCGGAAGTATGGTAAAAAAATTAAAAAAAATGTGCAACGTTTCCCGTGAGTTTCGCTGCTCTAATCATGGGACTGACGCATGGTTCGTTTTCCCGCGTGACATGACGTGACGCTCACATTCAAAATTTCCCGCGCTCATCGCGAGACGGTGCGGTGCGCTACGGCGCGGCAAATTACGGTTCTCTTGTCCGTCTCCTCCGCCTGGCACCCCACACCTATCTTTGCCTCGGGATTCTTCTCAGTTCTTCTCCTCTTACACAGATGTAATCATTACAAGTAACCTCTAGTTTACTGCGGACGAAGGAGAGTGACAGGCAGTATGAAAGTGCCACACTACGAAACCTGCTGTCTGCCAGTTGTTGAAACGGGTATGCGACACCGATTGGTAGGAGACGACTGATACGAATGATATGATACAATCCTTGTCGCCTGCTCTCTTCAACTACTGGTAGAGAAGGGGTTTGGCATTTCGCGTCAAACTCATCCCGCCTGACTCGCACCGGTTTGGCACTGCGCCAAACTCACCCCGAATGACTGGCATCCGGGACACGCCATAGCGTTGTGATCAATTCCTGTAAAATACTGCCCCCTAATTCCATCCTCAAATACGACACCCCCTCCCATCCTACCTACTACTTTCCTAGATTTTCTCAACTTCCTACCACTTCTCCAGTTTTTCCCAAAAAATTCTAGTTTTTCCCCAAAGTTTCCCTGTCGAGCTGGGGAAGGGGAGGTCGTGAAGATTCAACTACTATGTTCAACTGTCAGACAGGGGGGGGGGGTATAACAGCAGTGAAACGGGAAAAACAGCAAAAGCCAACAACAGGGTAAAGTTTCTTCTCAACGCTGCGAAGACAAATACGACTCGCCCCCCTTTACAGCGTCCGTGGCACAAGAGAAATCAACTATCAGAAAAAAATTTCTCAGATGAAATACGACCTGCCTCCCTCCTTGCGGTCAGATACGACCCCTCCGTTGTGATCATCACAACGATAGCGTGGCCGGCTCGCATATTCGTGCGCAGGGCATTAGACAATATCTTTGCAATAAACTCACTGACCGCTGTTTCGTTGTTTATGCAGATGTGAACGTGCATGTTTACCAATGTCAAATCACTGCCTTCAACACGTGCTCTACAACGTACATCAGCGTCTTTTTGCCTTCTGTACGCAGTCGTTCTGTCGTCGACCAGTAAACTCAATCGACGCACTGCTTTGGGATGGGAAATGCGCACTGCACAGGCAGTCAAGAGAGGACAGATACGGTAAGCGTTGGGGGAATATTGCGTACATTTCCATATTTTTTCACATCTCCTCTTCTTTATCTCCTTTTTTGAGGCCCTGCTCCATTGTACGACACAAGCTCCTTCATGGGTTCATCGTCGTCAATTGGCTCACCACTTGGTGACGAGTCGTCAGCAGCGAGTCCGATGCCACAAACAGATCCGCATCATGCCCTTCTCACCGATACCACTGCACCTATGGACTGCCAGCTTTCTTTGGATGTTTCGCACTCATGGGATGATGTGACAGAGTTCCTAATGTCCGAAGGTTTTCCGGTTGATTCACCGAACTCACAGGTCACACCGAATTAGTCGTTTTTGCATAATAATCTGGTCAGACCTCATTCCATATTTGTTGTTCCCATTTTAAAATTCGTTTTGGGACTGATTTCTTTGAGAATTGTGCAGTGAATGTAGAACTGGGTTGGGTGATCCGCTTTGTGCCTATGGGTTACATTTCCTCAGAATTTTAATTGGTTTTGAGGCATACAGCACGGTACTGTGTGAAACGGTAGCAGGGGTACTATGCAGTGAAAAATGGCAGAAAATCGAAGAGAAGCTCTCAAAAACCTGCTAAAAACCTTTTCTACACGGCTCAGGAAGCAGTTTCGGACGAGTTCCCGTTGGCATCGTGCCAGTAACCGCTACGGTAGATACGGCTGCATGTATGTACTCATATATCCATGCAGCACCGCAGCCGCTTCATATCAATCCCTTCGCTTCATATTGTACTTCGCAAATGAAGCGATACGAGCATCAGCATCAGTCGGACATTTGTGGGCGGGCGGGTGCGGTGGGTGTCCGGCCGGATTGTTACTGCTTGATAAAGCGCTATAGGGGGCCTTCCTTGGAAAAGGCGCCGCGCCTTCTCAGGGGCATTGAATTCTGCCGTACCAGGCGTTTTATCCTACATGTCTTGAGGATTTGTCGTGCAACTTGCCCTTATCGTGGAATGCTGCGGTGTGCCGCGTCAACTAGTCAGCTAATATTGTCTAGTTTGTGGGCACGCCGCAATGTAGCATTTCCAGCCGACACCCCGGAACTGCAGGAATCGGGCGTTGACGCTGAATCTTCAGAGCTGATTACTCATTTAGTAGTAGTTGGCCACGACCACAATGAGAGGTAAGTTAATAGACCTTCTCAGCCCTGCTCTTTTATTTCTACTCGAAAGTGCTTTCTGTACTGCGAGATGGGCGGTGCCATTAAACTACATTGGTGCGCCTGTCCTCATTAATTCGCCCTTTTAGAAAGCGGGAGAACACCTTTAGAATTGGGCGAGCGCGCCGATTACGTCGTTCCCTGGTTATCTCATCAGGCAATGCCGAACGGTGACCATAATAAGGGGAAAGTTCTCAAGCTTGAGAATAGAGGATCCCTAGTACAGCGCTCTACAAGCCTCTGATTTGATTTTTCCTGTGGTAATCCAAATTGTTATCCCTCTCTGATTCAGGTGTTCTTCATAGATACCTAATATTGTTTGCTGAAGCATCATACATTAGTTCTCGCTAGGCTACTTTTATAGTGCAAACAGGTTACGAAGTTGTCCCAGACAGGTAATCTTACTAATATTTTCATCGTTATTGCATTGTTTGGAGATCCTCATACTAAATTCGGTGTTTTTCTTCATGTGTTATTCACCACTTGAATAATTTGTTTGGGAACTTTGCTTGTTACTGGTTTTGTTAGTAACCAGTATAATATCATTTCAACTCTGTGAATAGGGTCCACGCAGTTCCTTTCTCATTTACGGGGCTATATTGGGGTATACTAAGCTGCTCGAACTGAAGCGTCCCCGTGTATTTAGTTCATACCACGGTGTCTGGGATGGGAGTGTCCACCGACTCAGTTGTATGCGCGGCCATTGCGTACCTGTGCAATGTTGCCATTTAGAGCAGAGAGGGTAGAGCTGAAGTGCAGACAGTCTGTGTATAAGATACAGCAGGCTGTCATGTCCCCAGACTGGCAGCACTACATGCAACCCCAACGCACTCTACAAAAATGCAGCCCTGGCCGTGTTCGCAATTGTGTCGTAGACGCGCTCTCCACAGGCGTCGTGATATGGGGTGTGCCAATATCGCCCTTCATATCAAACCATACTGTGTCCCCTTGGGTAAGTAAACTCGATTCGTGTTGCGACAAGCTTCTGCTCTGGACTGGTTAGGGAGTCGGAGGGGGGGGGGGTTCTGTCGTGAGCTGACGAGGTGTGGATACGATAGCGTTCCGATTGTCGCGCACGGTGAGTCGCGTTTTTCGGATTTGCTCTTGTGCGCGGGGTGTTCTTCAGAGCAGCAGTGGAGAATCTTCGATTTGGAATCTTTTTAATTTGGCCGATTCATAAGACAACATACTATGCAGAGGCCGCGGCGTCGCAAACCACGCCTATCATCGCGATTGCCCACGATGGTGCCACAAATCCGTGATTTTAAGCTAAGGAACCCGTGGGCACTATAACTGGATTTTGCCCCAGTTTTTATGGCATTATTGGACTTGAAATGTGTCTACTAAAGAATTTGATCACGATGTTGTTATTGAGAAATGTATCCAATTTATGAAGGAACCTCATGGGACATAGTTTGTTTTTTGATTTTATGTTAGTATTTGTAATAAAGCTCATGAATATTCTCAAACCCGTTACATTTCAATAGTGGACGATTCTTGGAAAATCCTGACCCCCCCACCGTAGCGAGCGAATATGAATTTAGGGAAATGGCGGTATGCGCAGGATTTTTAAATTTTGTTTCATAACTTCTGCTTCTGTGACTTTTCTTGTCTTTTGCTGTTTCCCACAAACACTTTGACTGAAAACGACTGGACATCGACACATGGCCGATTCCGCCCATTCTTCAAGGGGGTTTGGTAATCCAGGCTTCCGCCCCTTGTCACGCCCACTTTCCTCTTTGCGGAATTTTAATATTTTTTTCAGAAATTTGCGATTTTCGACGCTGTGTGAAGTCCCGCCCACTGAGGGAGGCTCCGCCCACTTTGAAGGGGCCACGCCCACTATTCAAAAATTGCAAAGCGGCGGTATGGGGTCTTGGCTTGCATGTTCACTATTTTTGAAAACTGGGGGAGCCTCTCTCAGAAAGCGGGGATTCACGTAGCAGTCCAAAAGTGCAACCATTTTGAAAGATTGTCCAAATTCCGCAAAAAGCAAGTGTGTGTGGCCAAGGGGGCAGGGCCTAGATTGTCAAACTCTTTGAGTAACGGCGGAGTCGGCAAGGCTGGTTCGCATGTCCGAGTTGTCACTCAAAGCGTTTGTGGGAAACAACAAAACAAGAAAAGCCACAGAAGCAGAAGCTATGAAACAAGATTTGGAAATCTATGTCTGCGCTGAGAAAATGGCGTGGCGTCGAGGAGGGGATCGCAGTGATGTCTGGCGTGATCTGGTTGATGAATTGCGTGGCCTAATAAGTGTAGTGAATTTAGTTTGAAAAGTGGAGAATCTGGTTCGAAAAGTGATGAATTTGAAGTGAAAATGGTATAAACTCTTCGCTGCCGACGCGCTCGAGCCCTACGACGTAGTCATTCGACCACGCTGCTACGATTGCATAAACCTTAGGCTGCGTTTATACTTTGCGGCAGCGTAGCGTAGCGCAGCGTAGCGTAGCGCTTCCAGCGTACGCCAGCGGCAGTGCCGAAGAGAGGATGCATATCGATCTAGCTTCACCAGCGTCACCAGCGGCACGCTAGCGCACGCTGGCGTAGCGAGGGCACGGGAAGCATAGCTATCGATCTAGCTTCACCAGCGTTTCTCGAGCGTTTCTCCAGCGGCACCAGCGTTTTGCTAGCGCTTGCAGCGGCAGGGAGTAGAGACTATGTGGCCGTGAGAGACGCGGAATCGACGTGTATTGTAGAGACCATGTGGCCGTCGGAGACGCAGAAGCGATGTGCATTGTAGAGACTATGTGGCCGTCGGAGACGCAGAAGCGATGTGCATTGTAGAGACTATGTGGCCGTCGGAGACGCAGAAGCGATGTGCATTGTAGAGACTAAGGGCGAGTGAGAGACGCGCAATCGATGCCGCCTGCAAACGCTAGCAAAACGCTGGTGAAACGCTGGAGAAACGCTGGCGTACGCTAGCGTGCCGCTAGCGTACGCCAGCGTGCCGCTGGTGACGCTGGTGAAGCTAGATCGATATGCATCCTCTCTTCGGCACTGCCGCTGGCGTACGCTGGAAGCGCTACGCTACGCTGCCGCAAAGTATAAACGCAGCCTTACGCTGCCAGTTCGTAATGAATGCCAGTATGCACTTCAACGACTTCCCATCGACGTGTCGACCCACCTAGACAGCTTCCTCTCGGGTTGACAGTTTTTACCACGATGGCGAGCTTGCTCCAGCTTCCAAGAGTTCACAGGTTTCACCAGAGTGAGACTTGTAAACCAGAACTAGTGAAGCAACGAAAGTGCAAAATGCGTCCCCCCCCCCTCCGTCGGCATACTGCGCCTGCCAGTACCCCCCCCCCTTTAGAAGCTCTGCAACTTTTTTCTGAGAGGTCCGGAGTGAATATGGAAGACGGTTCCGTAATTCCGTCCAAAGACCTTAGAAGCCCCCCCCCCCCTGAAACAAGTAAGGATGTTAAGGACGTCCATCCCTTTTACAACGAGCCCGAAACAAGAAAACCAACTATCAAAAAACGTTTTCTCGGTCCCTCTCACCTGGTGGGGAATCCTTAGCAAGTTGTGAACGAGTTCTCGCTTGCTGATACCAGCTCTTTCTCCTTATCACCTCATTCTCATCATCGGAGTGGGAAGAATTAAGGGGCGGAGAATTTGTAGCGGAACAACGGTACCACCATCAGGCGCTTATTTGAAATGAACATTCAACGTAGTGGCAACCAGGTGGTCGAGGCGGCAGTCCCCTAGCTAGCGCGCGGTGCTATCCTCTCGTACTTTAGAGCTGCGAAATTCGCACAGTCTCCATCCTTGTACGCGGGACTACGCTTTCCAGAGAAGACAGATTTCCAGAGAGGGAACGCTCCACCCCAATCGTTTTTTTCAAACATCAGTGCAACCACTGGTAAATCATGATAAGCTGACTTCTGCGAGGGCGTGGCCACAGTATCGGTGACCCATCGGTTTCTCGGTACGGTACATCCTATTTGAACACAACTCATATGAACACAACTAATTGTTGACCGTTCTATCAAAATCTCGTTCATTGCGCGGCTTTCAGTGGAATTTCCATTAGCATTGCACACCTCTTCCCATTGGAGCAGTAGTGTCACTCTGCACTCAAAGTGTATATCTGTTATTATATCCCAGCTTTTATTATACCACATCTATTATACCATATCACATCACATTCATAAATT